TTCGGAGACTAACATTACGCAAACAAGTATCCGACAATATTGCTCTTGCTGCGGTGACGTCCATTGAAATGTGGTACGTCATTGCTCACAAACCTCCCGATTGTCTTCGTGTGTTTATGTATCCGTGGGCAGTGGTGGTCCGAAGATCCCATTCCGTGGTGGCAGACTAGACGCAGCAGCTCCAAACAAACCAGGCGTCCCCGAACCACAAGGATCTCTGAAAGCACACATCGACAGCTTTGCTCGTCAAGGCTTCACCCAGGAAGAGATGATAGGTCTTGTGGCCTGTGGCCATACCCTTGGAGGCGTTCAACATTCAACATTTCCTGAGATTGCGCCGCCTAGCACAGCGCCAGATAACACGGACGGGAATGCACGATTTGACAGCCAATTTGACCAGTTTGATAACAAAGTGTGAGTCTTTTGCTTCTCGTAGGTTCAGCGTTTTTACACATAGGTATCTGAATGGTATGACTTCATGCAGGGTTACGGAGTATCTGAGCGGAAAAACCCAGAACGTCCTTGTTGTTGGCAAGAATCAAACAACCAACTCTGATCTGCGCATATTCTCCAGTGATCGAAATCGTACAATGCAATCGTAAGCCTAAAACTCTATTCGCGATGCTTTTCCATTTCGTCAATCACTCATTTCGACAGCCTTGCAAGTCCGAAGGCGTTCCGTACCACGTGCTCTAAACTGATTGCAAAGATGATTGATACTGTGCCCAAAGGTGTGAAGCTCGCCGAAACTGTGGACTTCTTGCGTGTGAAGCCGTATGCATTGGAGCTCACCTACATGGATGATGGTTCGCTCCAACTGACTGGAGAAGTTAGGGTCAGTGTTCTATTCGTCATTCCCTTCCAAATCTGAGCATCCTCCTTTCCCCTATCAGTTCTGGGACATGCCAATAAATCCTCGACGCAAGATCTCGATACTATGGCGAGATCGAGGTGGAAAGAGTGCACGTCAGTACATCTCCACCCTGACCTTTAACCGAACACATGTGTCCAAACCACTTGTCCCCGACCTTCCTGGCATCCAAAACTTATGGTACACTATCGAGCCTATCAAACTGGACGCAAAGAAGTCTATCTCCGAGTTCTGGTTTGAGATCGACGAGGGACGGGGTAAACCGCGGGTTGAGAATCAAAATGGAAAAGGCTTTTTTATCTCAGATGATGTCGTAGTCGCGAATTCGACTTGCCTCTCCCCTGACGCTTTCGACTTCCCGGTCACTGTTGCTGTGAGTTCCTTCCCCTCTAACAGCAAGCCTCCATCGACTGAAAGCAATGATTTTCACACAGATCCGGTCTGACATCCGTCCTGATCGTGTATACATCAAGAAAGACGCGTTTGACAACACAGCAAGACCCGTAGTCATGGAAGACGACTTCAACTCGACCGCCATTGCGACGCATCCGCATCCCCAAAGTCCATACAAACTTTGGCACCTCGAAACTTCCATACCGTCTGGGGCATGGACGGTAGCAGTCCAAGCGGGTCGTCAGACGTATGAAACGCCTTTTGTGGCTTCTGACATCAAGGCACCATGGAGGTCGTGCTGAAGAATGTAATGCAAATGATCCTAATGCAATTCAATATTATCGAATGATTACTTGTATGGCTCCAAGGTTTCGCGCACGACTTCGCTGACCGAATATCCGCCAGTCCAAATCGCAATAGCGAGCTGACCTGCATCTACAACGAGCCCGGTCACAGTGGCCGGTCAGTCAGAATCATAATCACCCAGCCACAGTCCTGAGCAGACAAAACCCCGCATGTTCGCCACAGTCCACTCTTTCCTATCGACCGTCCGGTTGTACGCCGTCCCTCACAGTCCTTTGCTTCCCGCTCGCTCGCTCTAGTCCTTCGTTAGCAACAGTCGTTCCAGCAGTCCAAGGACAACGCCTCACCGAAGATCACCCTCAACTGCACCAGCAACAGCTCCCTCGACACCTCGCAACCCCAGTCAGCCATGCCGGCCTCGTCTTTCAACGACATCTTCCTCGTCCCCTCTCTCAACTCCTTCCACCGACGATCCAAGGCCAAGGCACCTGTCAAGAAGGCGGTCTGGCAGAAACACACTCCGCGCACCACGACCACCAGTGACGCGACAGCACCAAGACCCGTTGTCCGAACACCGCCAGTAGTCGCCGCGGAGGAACGGGTTGTGGTTCAGCTGCCAACTCCGGTCACCGCCAGCAACAAGGACACCGGGAGCGTTGCCCAGCAGGTCGCACCAAGACGCGCCTTCAGCCTGACGCGGTTCACGGATCCCCTTCCCTCCCCAATCCGCTCGCCGCTATGCAGACTGTCGGTCTTGGAGTTCGCGGCGCCGTCCCACAGAATGCCTCTCAAGATCGCCGAGGTCGTGCAGGTGGCGCAGGAGAACACCGGGGTCGAGGTTGAGATTGAGATTGAGGAAGTCGCCGAGGTCGAGGTCAAGGAGGCTGTCGTCAGGCCCTCGAGGATCCCCGTCTGGAAAGGACGCACGACGCATTGCTCGGAATGCGGCGAGCCCAAGATCTTTTCGGAACGTGGTCAGAGAGTGCGTCGTCTTTCTCCCTCCGTTTCCTGTTTATGGCTCACCGTTTGTAACGTCCAGGTCGAGGAGGAAGCCAACGTCGCGGAGGTCGCCGATGAGCACTCCGCTCCTGACGCCGCACCGGCCGTTCCGGAGACCACAGAGCCTGCGTCTCTCCCGGTCGGCCAATCCTCCACCCGCGTCGCCGAACCTGCCGCCGCCCTCCCCGAAACATCCGGGGCCACCAACGTCGAGCCCGCCCCAGAGGCCGCCAACACCAACAAAGACATTCGCGCTAAACTGGGAGAATCATTCGAGGACCCACAGTCAACCGCACCAGAAGATACCGTCTCAGACAACGAAGAAAGCCCCAGTCCAGTCGTAGCACAAGATGAAGAAACACAGCAGCAAATCCCAGAGCCCGCCGCACTCACCGCTCGAGACGAGGACACCACCCCGGCGAACATCGTCACACGCAGCACACCATGGACCCCGCTGTCCCTCCCGCGCATCAAGAAGACTGCAGCCAAGAAGTCGTCCCTCCTGTCGAGGATCTTCAGCAAGGTCAAGGCCCCCTTCACCCCCACCCCCACATCGGAACAGCCTGTCCAGGATCCCGTGGACTCGGCCAAGTTCGCCGTCCTGAACGAGCTCATGCAGTTCAACTGTGAGGGGAGGAAGTTGAGGAAGTACATCAGGCCCGAACTCTTGGTGGCCGTGGACCCGGTCCTGGACGCGTTCTCTGTTACCCCCGAAGCGGACGCTATCATCCGGGAGGCGAGCGTCCTTGACGTGCTGTTCGAGTATGATGCATCGTTCGAAGCGGAGGAAGCGAGAGAGAAGGGCGCAGAGGCAACACCAGAGAAGGGGGAGGCGAAGAGTGTGGAGGTGAAGGAGAGAGCTAAGGAAGCTGAGGAAGTTGCAGGGGGTACGACCGCCACCATCCCGTCGTTCGCGCTGAGTGAATCCACGAACGACGACCCCGACACCACCGACTCCGAACCCATCTTGGGTTCTCCCGAGGAGACCGCAGTGTCCATTCTTAAGGACGGCAGCCCAGTGGAGCCTGTTCCCGTCTGTCAACCCGAGACGGAGAACGCTCCCGCCGCCCTTGTCGTACCCCCGACGGAGGAGAGAGAAGAGGAGCCCGCGCCTGTGGTGATGAAGGGTAAGCACCTGATCTGTTGCTGTCCGCCGAGCTCTGACTGACACTTTTCATGCAGCATTTGGGACTGAGCTGACGAACACGGAGGCGGGGGGCGCGACCATCGTCCCCCCACCATCCGTCGCAGTTGCCCGGCGACATGTTCTGTCAGAGACCCCTGCAGCCTTCGTTCCAGACACGCCACTGTCACTCACAGCCCCTGCCCCTGCCATGTCCAGCGTCCAAGCTCGCATCTTTGCCCTCAACCGCAATGTCAATGCCGCCGCCGCCGCCACTCCTCTCGAGCCCAGTGGGCACATCCGCAAACTGCGCGCCCCCGCCTGGGCCGATCGTGACTACTCGGACAAACGCACGCAGCGCGAGATCGACGCGCTCAGGTGCATCGGGAGCGTCAAGAGAGGCGGCGAGGTGATTCTCAAAGCGAAGGCGTTTGGTGGCAGCGGGGTGGATGTCGTCGAGGAGGTTGAGGTTGAGGGCGGGAAGAAGAAGGTGTTGTCTTTGAGTGCAATGGGAGTTTTGCTGAAGCACAGGGAGAGGATGGCCAAGGAGAACGTTTGATTTGCCTCTGCTGTGTTTCGTGCTGTATCCAAGGCGTTTCTGTCATCGAATTGCTATCAGTTATCCGCATTTTCTCGCAAGAGCAGAAGAGACTGACATGCATGGTATACCGAGAACAAATAAACGTCAATCTACCACCGGCGACGAGACGCGGTGGTGCTGCGAGTAAAGCGTACAGAAATTCTGTGCATGCCTGCTGGGATTGAGATGGTAACATAAACATGAGTGTTGCCTCGTTGACAGAGGTTCGGCTCACCAATGTCGCCTTGCCATCACATCGGACCCCTAAAGACGCTGCATCCCCCCGGGGCCCGCAGACCACGGTTGAGATCATCAAGTGCCCATGGTGGTGGTCTGGAGGAGAGCGAACTCAGAGGCGCTCGAGGGCAAGGTCGCGCCGACGCGTCTTGACCTGCTCCACGATCTCCCTCTCGACATTCCCGCAGTGCTCAGCACGATGGTATCTGATATTTCTAATGGTCTCAAGGAGGACGGGAACGTCAAGTTTAAGCAACGAGTTTCATTTCTCTCAAAACACGTGATCGCAACTTTCAGTGTCACAATTTCGATCGCAGAAGCAGTCTGTGAAGGGTTGAGAAGAAGACATAATTCCCGAAGCGCCACATGTACCATCACCTCCCGCGTTCGAGTCTTCCTATACCCTCTTTCCCGACCATTTTTTGAGTTTTCAATCTACCTCTCAGGACTTTGGCAAGGTGGATCATAATACTATGGGACACCTTCCTCCTCAAGCTGATATGGCCGAGTCGTTAAGGCGAGTGATTTGAATTATTATCGTCACGTGACTCATTTGTCACGTGACACGGTTCACTATCACTTGGGATTTTCCCGCGTAGGTTCAAATCCTGCTGTCAGCGTATCTGTTTTTGCTTCGGTGGAAGAGATGGACAAGGTGTAAGGAGTGACTAATAATGACACGGAGTTGTAGGGAGGAAGCTTTGCAAACTGAAATTCAGTGAGAAAGAATGTCAAAACCTACGAGACCTTTTCGCGACTCGGCCATATCATATTTACATTAAGCGCTCCTTCAGTCTCTCCAACTCAGATTAATATTGTCTATGAGCTGTCTATGTAGGTCTATGTCGCAAGTCGCCAGCGTCGATTCCGCTGTCGTGTGCTTACAAAAGCTAGCCACACTCTTCCCAATTTTAGTGCTTTCAACCGTCCCACCATCCCCTCCATCTCTCCAGAAAATCCACGAATAACATGATTCACGACACCCAGGGTTTCAACCGAAGTTAGGAGATAAGCAGAAACAGGCAGTGGTAGCACAACCGGTGTTGCTCTTCGAGCAGGGGATTCAAGTAAGTTTTCCCTCCCAACTCACCCTTTATTGGCCCATCCCACCCATCGCTAGCGTTCTGCTATCTCCGACTTTGGCTGTATGCTCGGTGTCGATGGTCCGCCTCTGGCGGCCTATCGCCCATCGTCTCTATCCATTCGTTCTACCTATTACTTGCATTTTAATACATTCTGTTGCTACTAGAATTGACGTGACGCAACACATAGATCTTTGAGTTCTCAACGTCCCTACTCTTACTACTCTTACTCGGCTGACTCGGCTGACTTTTCCTTACCGCACAGTCATTATTGACGCTCAGTCAGGACTTTTTTGCGTGTGGTCCATGACTGTTTCTCCCTGTTTCTCCACTCTCAGTTGGGGCTAGAACCTCACACAGTTCATAACACCTCGGTACTGTCATAAGTCAAACCGAGAGACATAATCCTTAGACACTTCACCGATTGCATTTGACTGCACAACTACATGGCGCTGTACATGTAAGTAACCCTCATGAATTTGCCGTCACAGCCTTCCCACTGACCAGGCTTCTCCGCAAATGGTTTCCAATTGGAATATGAATGTTTCCTCACCATTCTGACAAAATAACAACTAAGGCTCACGCTTCCCATTTATTCATCTTCTGAACGAAGCTGAGCTTATCCTAAGCGATTCTAATCCACCCCAAAACAAAAACGATAGAGCGGTATCCAAGTACGAGTATGTTTAATTTGGTTGCAGCAACGATGAATACTTACCACAGGGGAGCGCATAGAGAATGCTTGTATATCAAATGCAAAAGGATCGGTGCAACAGCAGCTCATGATAATAATGACAATGGTGGTACATAACGTACAGTTTCTTTCTAGGAGTGACAAGGTGCTTGAATACCCAACCGGCTCATATTTCCTTCCGTCTCAATTTCCGTCTTCCTCCTGATTACCTCCTCGCCTCCACATCTGCGAATCTCCAGAGAACCTTTACGACCTCCTCTGGCCTCACCTTCCACTTCGCATCCGTCCCACTGCCAGCACTTCCGATACCCTCGGTTTCAGCTATTGCATTCCCGACCTGAACGCCGTTTACCCTGACAGCTTCACCAGTAAACACCGTCTCCGCATTGTCCAGCTCGTTTAGTCGTCGCATCAGCTTCTCGTCCTTTCCGATCGCAAGCACAAAGTCCACAGACAAGGACGAGGACTGATCTGTGTTATCAGCGACAAGCCAGGAGGAGAAGCTGGCGCGAAGCGGGGACGCTGCTGAGGATCCTCGGAGGGCGGGGACATGAGCTGGGCCACCAGGGTGAAGGATAGCACCGACTGCGGTGGAGCGAGAGATATTGTTGGGCAAGACGAGGAAGGAGTTCGATCCAGGAATGATGCGGAGACCGTACCGTTCACCCAGACTGACGAGATGACATAGCGTCAGACCCATAGCCCGTTAAAATAAAGACAAACTCACCTGTCGAAAATATGGTTCTGTGCCTCTGCGGCTTGACGACGAGCCCACTGCCTATCTGACGACGTCTTGTCCAAGGGTCCGTTCCAGAATCGCCAAACAATGGAGGCCTCGCGCTCCTCAATGAACGAGTTCGGAGTACGCTCGGTGAACTGTTCATAAATTTTAGCTTCCCTCCGCAGCGGCAAAATCACTGGACGAACTCACGTAGTGCAAAATCTCAAGACATGGCGCCTTCCAGGTCAAATTGAAGTTCGCGACCATGTTCATCCAGGCGGACTCTCCACTCCTCGTTTGCCGTGTCTTGATGAAGCAGCCGTTCTCAGCAACAATACCGACCTTCGGCAATTCGTTCGCAACCACCTCCAACACACCCTTCACCTGCAGTCCACTCAACAACCAGACTTCATTCTTCGGGTCATCCGAGAGCTTCTTGAGAACATTCAGACTGTCCTCCTCGATGCCCCACCCCTTGAAGCCACCGAGTCCGAGTCCAGCGTCACTGGATATATCAGCGGTGGTAACCTTAGCCATCACCCGCATGACGTTGAAGTCTCTCTTCCAAAGCGTACCCTCAAAATCGATGAGAATGAGGCGCTTTTCGCTATGCTTGTACCTTGGCAATACGAGGTTGACATCCAGCGGCGCAACCGTAAGGGAATCGGGTTGGTGGGAAAGATTAGCGCGGAGACAGCGCAGGAGGAAAGTCGTGACGAAAGCCTGAGCAGATTGGGTGACAACGTGATTGTGGAGATCCTCCCAGCGCGAGAGAGCTTCATCGTCCGACATGGTGAGAGCCTGGAAGATCGCGTTGGCGGTGGAGCGCTTGTCCCAGGGATTAATGGCAATGCACGAACGGAAGCCGCTGTAACTGTATGAACCAGTGAACTGGTCGACGAATGCTCAGTTAAGTGCTTGATTCTACAGAGCTGAAATGACCTACTTCACTGAGGATGAGAGGACGATGCCTGCCCTCCTGACACTCGACGAATTCATGCGTTCTCAGCGCCATACCCTCACGTACACTTGTCACCATAAATGCATCAGCCACCGTCAGGAGTGCCAGGTACTGGTTGAATGTCAAATCCTGCGTATGGAGGAAGACGACTGGCTGGTATGTGAGAGTGGAAAAGCGTGAGTTGATGTGCGAGATCACATCAGCGACACCGCCTTGATATTCGTTCTCTTCGGTGGTCTGAAGGGCGACCTGAATGAGGACGACCTTTCCTTGATATTCCGGATGTCTATCCAAGAACGCTTCAAACGCTTGCATTTTGTGACGTACGCCCTAATAGAGATATCAGAATGCTGCTCATTCTTCTTCGTTGGAGTAACGTACCTGAACCTCGTCGAGCTTGTCACGTCCCACTATCAATTTCATCCCGGTGTATCGCTGTTTCAAGACCTTCACCCACTCGGCAACTTCAGGATTACGCCTGTAGGAATATCAGACACAGAAAACACAGGTGCGGTGGCAAGACGAACCGTTTTTCGGTGAGAGCCCTGACGTCAATGCCAATGGGGAAGACACCGACGTCTACGAAGCGATCGTCCATTTGAATCCCCTTGGGCAGGGCCTCGGCGCTCAGAATACGGCTCACAGTCTGCCTGAAGTGGCGCGCGAAGTTCGCCGTTTGGAATCCGATCAAGTCCGCACCAAGGACACCTTGTAATAACTCGTTTCGCACGGACAGACAGCGGAAAATCTCCGAAGATGGGAATGCGACATGCATGAAGAATCCAATAGTTGCATTTGGTAGCTTGCTGCGGATCATTGCAGGGAGGAGCATCAGATGGTAGTCGTTCACCCATATGATGTCGCCCTCGTGATACGCTGAGACGATGGCATCTGCGAAACGCTGGTTCACAGCAACGTATTGCTTGAAGGACGCAGACTCGTAGAAAGACTTGGTCTTTGGCGCGTCAGGAATGGCGTAGTGCAGACATGGCCAGAGGACCTGAAGTGACGCATAAATACCAGAAGACTGTGTTATAGGACAAGCAGAACACACCTGATGGCAGAACTCGTCGTAGCAACTGGCAAACTCAGCGTCCGGAATCCAGACCGGTAAGCTCTCGTGCTCCTCCCTCATCCTCCACTCCATGTTTCTCTTCAAGCTCTCCTTGAACTTGTCCGTGTTCGTTCCAAGGGTACCAACCCACAGTTTGCTCCGGAGGCGACCATGGACGCTATCTAAAGCATTCTTCAACCCTCCGTTACAGTGGGGGTTGCTCTCAACGTGCCAAGGTTGTGTATGCGTGTATGAATCCTGACGAGAATTCGATAGAGAGCGCGACTTGGTCCTGGTACCGGTTGAACGTGAAGTACGTCGTTGTACGCGAGGCAGAGCAGAGTTGTTGTGCGTGGTCTGATGCTTGCGTTGACTGTCACCGCCCTCGATGGCAGATGTGACGGAGTCGAGGAGAGACTGAGCAGCTGCAGAGGCGCCTCCGGCGGCATTAGGCACGGAGAACCCAGGGAAGCCGAGGAACGGATTCGTAGCCTCCTGACGCGGGGTGACGGCTGGGCTTACGGCGCGAGACTAAGAGCAAGTGATATCAGTACGCTATTGCAACGGCCAGCGTTGAATATTGAGCAGTGATGATGATGGCAGAGAAGGGCCGCGTCCAGTGCAACTCGCTCACAAGACTGCTGCCATCAATGCGGCAACATCACATGAGACTCACCTTGTCCTTGAGATCCTCCACAATACTCTTCAATGGCCCCGGTTTCCCCAGAATGTTTGATCGCGAGGCAGAGGGTGTATGCGTCCCCTTGAATGGCACAATCGAGCTGGTAGTATCGCCGGGAGTGCTTGGGGCGGAGTCACCAAGAACGGCAGTGTTTGGAAGAAAGAGGGTAGCGATGATCGCGCGCTGATTCCTGAGAGAGCTCATCGTTGCCGACGACGTGCTCGATGAGTGGAAGAAAGGGGGGAAGTGTGAAGAGAAGGAGGATTTTGTCGTGAGCTCAAATATAATTGGGAGGGGCAATAGGTCCGATCTAAGCGCCCATAATCAATGACGAAGAAGTGCCCGATATGGTGGTGCAGCGCTGTTCCGGGTCTCCCCGATGCTTCCGATTTGGTCTTGTGCTGTTCAAAGATGGCTGCGATGGGT